GATTTAAAGAAATTCTTTAGTCAAAGGGCTCAGAGGGGAATTGTTCTGGGAAAGGCCGTGTGGCTGGTGCTCTTCCTAACACCCATGGAAAAGTGAGTATGTYGGGTTTCTAAGCTGTTCTTTTCAGKGAACAGGTTTGAGTTCTAATTTGTGGCTTTTCGATCTGCRATCTGCTTTATCACAAGTTACCAGTGCATTATGTTTTATGAATTCATGATCACCTGTGAGTTATTAATTCTTACTTAATTTGTCAGAAACTTCTTTGGATATTTAAATCAGTAACAATGTAGTGTTGAAATCCAGACTGGATGAGGTGTGATAATATTTGAGACAKAGCTGTTCTATCTATTTAATTTTTTTCCGTAGAAAAGAACGTCTTTTCTAAGTCATGAATAATATGGTTCTTACGTAGATCCAGACGCACAGATTTCATCTGAAACATGAGTATTTTTGATACAGCAGTAGGGGCTCAGTACTACCGTCGCATTGGTCCGGATCCCCCCTAAGCAGGTGCCAGGATGGGAACAGATGGGTGAGGTTGTTGGAGGAAACGTTTCAGGGGAATGGCAGCCAGGAGACTGAGATGCAGGCTTGACCCCTAAGAGGAGGCAGGAAAGGAGGGAGCTCCTGGACTGCAGCAGGGTTCTAAGTCTGCCACGTTCGGTGGAGTCCTGCTGCCAAGTTCCCAGCGCAGAGGAGTTGCCTGGCTTTGGAGGGCGTGGTCTAAGTATCCAGGCGCTGCTCATTCATTGGCTGGTGCAGCCCAAGGGAGGCGTGGCCTCTGCGGGAGCACCTCCAGCCGGGTGCTCCCCAGCTGAGTGCCTGGAAGTCCTGCCTCTGGGTCTGTCCTAGACTGGTGGTTGTTTCCCAGACATGGAATTCGTTTTCTCCAGACAGAGGGCAATAATGTTGTATTTCTACAGAGACAGAAAGGTGGGCTAACCCAATACATTATCTCTTTTTTTTTTTTTTTTTTTTTTTTTACCAATTTTGGGGTCCTAAGATGGAAGTTATGAATCAAATACATGGTAGACACTTAATTGGTTTACAAATGGAGCGATTGCCAGAGAGCCCGCCACCCATTTTAAAAATTATGTGCTGGGTTTTGCGTGAGGAAGGCTGGTTCCTAGGGTTTCCAAACTTCCAAACAAAACACAAAACAAAAAAATKGCAAAAGGCATTAGAAAGAAAACCATCMTGCTTTGAAGCCTGATTTGAAAACTGTTTTGAATGCCTTGCTTACAGCGAGTCCCTTGAAGAAAATCAGCTCAGCCCAATCCGGGTGCTGAGTGCGAGGCTTTGTTGGACAGCAGAGGATGAGCCACAGAGTCCCATTGGTCTGTGAGACCCACTTGGCCGTGCACAGAGCTCTGGTGTAGCCCTTAGTCCTGGGACCGGCACCTCCGTTTTCTGGAAGAGCAGGATTTTCTTTTCTTCTCCAGGGTGAGAGTGTGGTCTGTGGGAGCCTCACTGATGAGCATCTCCCGAGACCCCAGCCCGAGTGTCCTGGTGCCCTTGTTGGTCATTCTCGCCCGTTTTGGCAGGACGCAGAGAGGCCCTTCCCTCCTCCCCTGGGCAGGCTGCCCCCTCTTTCAACATCTTGCTCGGCATTAGGAGTTTTTCATCTTTTGGGTCTTTCTTGTTGCTGTTGTAGGTGGACACATGCCTTTACTTTGTGTGTCTATTTTTAGGGGGTGCTGAGGATCCAGCCCAGTGCCTCACTCGCGCCAGGCCAGCGCTCTGCCACTGAGCCCCAGCCTCAGCCCCACGTGAGGAATCTTGTTTTAGTGGTCCATTGGCCATCGGGCTTTTGCAAACGAGATGTCAGTTTAGGTGTAAAGGTGAAGATTCCCAAGGGTGGTTGTTGACAACTTATTCAGAGTGGTTTAKTTATTAGTGCATATGCATGACTTACTTACTACATGCTTGTTATTTTAAAGGGATGGAAAATAAGAGTTAGAATGAGCAGAATTAGACAACCAAGTGGACTCACAGAGAAGGGGTGAATGTAGTTGACACTTGTCATATTTGGYCAAAAGATGGCTGGGTCCGGCCGCGTCTTCCCGCACTGCTGCACGTGGCCTGCTGGACGCTGTGGAGCATCCTCTGGATCCAGGATACTGTGATAAGACGTGGGTCAAACCCTCAGCCTTACAGATAACAGGCCGTCTTTCCTTAGGGTGTAAAGAGAGCAAATCCAACAAGAAGCCGTAAGAATAGAAGTCAGAAAACCAGACTAAGGCTGAGGGTGTGAAGGAGAGCATGCAGTCAGAGCTGTGGGGTTTCATCTTGTGGGCCGTGCAACAGCCCAGTTGCTTGTGTCTCCTTCTAAAGTCATGTCAGAATCCTCTCCCTCAATGCTGAGGCATTGGGCTGTGGCTGCTGGGTCTCAAGGGTGGAGCCCTCATGCATGGGGTTAGTGCCCTTGTCAAAAGGGCTGCAGAGCGCCTTTGCCCTTCCTCCCCATGAGGTGACGGAAGACAGCCATCTTGGAAGCTGGCCCTCAACCAGGCCCTGGGTCTGCCAGGTGGCCYAGGACTTCCAGGCTCCAGGACCGGGAGAATACAGCCCACCATTTGCAAGCGCCCAGTGAGTGCTATTTTGTTATAACACCTGAAGGAACTTTGACAAGAGTGAAGCTGTATCACAAGTTCTAAACTAGGGGAAATGGAAAACCAGATGCCACTTTTCCTTTTCTTTTGAAACTGGGTCTGGCTGTGTGGCCCAGGCTGCCCTTGAACTCCTGAGCAAGCGATCTCCTGCCTCAGCTTCCTAAGTAGCTGGGACTAGGGACATGTGCCACCACTGCACCTAGCTCCCTTAAAAACGTTTATGATAGCTTTGTTGAGATAGAATTTGTATCATTTGAAATACACAATCCAGAGGTTTTTAGCATTCTCACCCAGTGAAGTAACAAAGCGTAGCCACGACCATAGTTAAATTGACATTTTCATCACCTACTTAAAGAAAACCCACATGTATCAGCCATCATACCTCTTTTCTGCCCACTTCCCTCAGCCTTGCACAACCAGCARTCTACCTTGTTTTTCCATGGATTTCCTTATTCTAGACATTTAATATATATAGAATCATAGAGCTGGTGATTTTTTTGTGTGTCTGCCTTCCTTTTTTACTGCTGAATAATATTCTATTGTATGGACATACCACATTTCATTTACCCGACATTTGGATTACTTGATGGACATTTGGATTACTTCTTTGGGCTGTTGTCAGTAATGTTCTCTGAACATGCACATGCATGCTTTCTTGTGGACGTATTTTCATTTCTCAGGGGTGTATATCTAGCAGTTGAATTTCTATATCCTAAGGGAACTCTGTTTAACTTTTGAGAAACTATCAGACTGTTTCTGCAGCAGCTTCACCATTCACATTTCTGCAAGCAGCACGTGAGGYTCCAGTGTCTCCAGACTCCTGTCAACACCTGCTGCTGTCTGTGTTGTGGATCCTAGCCTTCCTAGTGCTTGTGTGGTCGTGTCTCACAATGTGATTGTGGTTGTGAGGTTGTGGTTTCAATCTTCCTGTCTCTGATACATCCGTTAATTAATTATCCGTAACTATTGTTGTGCATCTTTTCAACAAAAAGCTGCTTATTGGCTATTTGTGTATGTTTTTAGAGAAATAGCCACTCATTCTTTTTTCATTTGAAAGTTATTTCTCTAGTAGGTTGTGAGAGTCCTTCATATATTCCAGTCAGGTGTATGATTTGCATTTTTTTTTTTTTTGCATTCTGTGAAGTCTTTTTACTGGCTTGAAGGTATATCTCTATGAAATTTATTTTTTCTTTTGTTGCTTGTGCTTTTGATATTATACCTAAAAAACCAGTGCCCGATCTGAGGTCATAAGATTGATACCTAGGTTTTTTCCTAAAAGTTTGGCAGTTTCAGTTCCTAGATTTAGGTCTTGGATTCACCTTTGAATTGTTTTTGCTCTTTTCATGTGGACATCCAGTTGTCCCCATCGCAGTTTGCTAAGAAGACCTTTCTTGCCCTCCCTTATTTACGCTAACATCCTCTCTGACATGCGTGCCGCTTCTGAGGCAAGTTTTATTGGACGACTCTTATTCACTGAAGGTTGGCACTAGTTTTGTCAATAAACGGTCTGTTGACCSAGAGCTGCATTTTACAAACCCGACTTTTACCATGTAAAAGGTAGGAGCATTGCCTCCCATAGAGCCAGGGCTATGAGAACACAGTTGGGTGGAAAGGCAGGTTTGTGTCATTTAATAAGGAAGGCGTTCTGAGAAATGTCTCACTGGGTGGCTYTGTCACTGTGTGAAGACGAGGGTGCACACACACAGACCCAGATGGTCTAGCCTAGTGCACYCCTGGGCCATGCAGTAGAGCCTCTTTCTCCAGGCTGTGAGCCTGTACAGAATGTCACTGGGCCATCGTAGCACAGGGCAGGTGTGTGTGCACTTTTCACATCTAGACAGGTCTGCACGGGCATCACCACAGACATGCCAGTGACACGTTGCACTGTGGCTTTGTGACGACTGTGACGTCACCAAGGTGTCGGAGTCTCTCAGCTCCACTTTCATCTTCTGGGACCACTGTTGGCTGAAACATCCTGACGTGGCACACGACTGTGCAGGTCTGTCTCTCCAGGTGGAGGCTGGTTAGGCGTCTCCCCAGCCCGGGCTTTCCATGTTGGTGTGTGCTGGAGTCCCTGGCCATCTTGTAAAATAGATTCCCGTGTCCGGGGGTGTGTCGCTGAGTTGCTCCAGGTGAGGCCCAGGGGGTGGTTCTGGTCCTGGGGCCTCGCTCTCGAGAGAGACCCTCTAGTGTGACTCCTCGTTCAGTGTCATTACATCTACTTATTTAATGCGATTTGGAAGGGAAATACAAACTGGATATTGTGCATTGTCCCGTTTTGAGATTTTATTGAATAAACTGCAAGATGAAGACCACCACACAGAGAAACAGGGTTACAGCTTCCCCCGGATGGGTTTTCTTCATCGTGACCTTTCCATCTTCTTCCAGGCCCCTGATGATCATCACTCAGAAGATCACAACCCTGGCTTTCCAAGTCCACGATGGTGAGAACAACCACCTCCTGTGGCCCTCCGAGCTCTCCTTTGTGCGCCCCAGGGTTTAGACAAGTGCCTGTGGACCTCGCCACCTCCTGTTCTGACTTTCCAAGTCTCTTTAACYTGTCCCACTCACCACCCTCCACTCCCTGGGGAATCTGTAGTCTAAATGTGCTGAAATAGTCACTCCGGGAACAGTGGGTTCTCTGTTTATCTTTGCAGTGTTTTAAAATTTGTGATTCTCTTTGAATTCATTTCCAAATTGCTTAAGAAATGGAAACCTTTTGCTTTGGTTTAATCTCCAAAAAGCTTATAAGGTAATTAATAAATTAAACAGCATTGGATGTTTAATCACTTTTTAATAGTAGATCTTTTTTTGATGGAAAATTATCTACTGGATAATCATCTAATGGATAATCATCTTGAAAAATCATCTAATGAGATTAGCCTGACCCTATACAAAGCCCGGAGAAGGGCTGGGGTTATGGCTCAATGGTGGCATGTGTGAGGCACTGGGTTCAACCCTCAGCACCCCATAAAAATAAAACAAAGGTCTTGTGTCTAATACCTTTTAAGTCCAATATCAATTAAAAAAAATTTAAAAATTGGGAGAAGGAAGAATGTGTCGTTTTTCCAGCAAATGAGATTTACACTGTTCACAGTGGACCCAGGGAAGGGAGGATGGTTACTTCAGTTGGAGGGAAGATTTCTACCTGGCTTTACCAGGTGCCAGGTGCCGTTCCTAAAAGCACCTTCTGTGGACTGTGCAGCTCCGGCYGGTGCGCTTGACTGTGGGGTGTCTTCCCTGGGTGACAGGTGGAGAGGGTTGTCTCCAGGAGCTGGTTTTCTTGTTAATCCTTCCATCTTCCGGACGACACTTGGTCCGACCCGGTGCCCCCTGTTTGGTACCGGGCGCTCTAGCTGTTCTGTAGAGAACTGAATCRTTTTAGATCAAGATGGAGTCTCCCCAGGGGAGCTACCTCCTGTTGCCCAGCACCGAGAGGTCTCCCGGGTGGGAGGCAGGTGGGGGCCAGGGGAGAGGAGCCCTGCGGACTGAGCAGCCGTCCCGACCGGCAGCTGGCATCGGTGCCACTCGGGTTGCTCGGTGGTACTGTGAGTTGAGATCTTAGGGGGAGACAATGAAGAGATTTTTTTCTTTCTTTTTATTTTTTTTTAAACATTGTTTCTTCTTCTTTTTTTCTTTAAATGGACTTTTTGCCTAGATTTGATTTTTGAAGTGTTCTCACCCCCACATCCACTCTCTGGGACGTCCTTGTGCGCGTGGTTCATCGGCCTCCTCTTTTCTTCCCCGTGTGTGGGAGGAACAGGGACACTCCAGGGACACTCCACAGGCGCTCTGCCTTCTCTGAGGCGCGCTGCGGTTCCTTCGTGGTTGGTGACCGTCACCAGCCTTAGCCGGCCAGGCAGTCCCACAGTTGACTCCTTGCAGTGACTTCTCTGCAGTCCACACGGCCATTTTATAGGGCGCACCYGCCCTCGGGTTGGAAGGTTCTCTGCTCAGGGTAGGCTTTAAGGAGCAATCTGGCCGTGTCTTTGTGCTCTCCTTGTATCGGGGTGAACTTTCTACTCTTGCTGGACAGGGAAGTCCCACTTCTGTTCCCTCTGGTCCCTTTCCTGCTCTCAGCTCATTTCAGGACCCCAGCCAGCCTCACCAGGGAGGTGTTTGCACCTGCAGTCTTCGAGGGGCAGTTTGGTTCCCTGCCTCCGCGGTGACATCATACGGGGGAAGGAGCCCCCGGTGGAGGAGGGGCAGGGTGTTCTGGGGCCCGCTGGGGTCTGGGTCATAGTGTGCAAATTAAACAGAAAAGCTGGGAAGGCTCYCTGTCATTGGAACCTGCAGAGACTTTCCTTCTTCACCTAGGCTCCTGGGCAGCTCTCTGACCCAGGGCACTGCCCACCCCATGCTGGGGATAGAACCCAGGGCCTAGTGCATGCTGAGCCCGTGCCCCACCACTAGGCCACGTCCTCCCAGGGATTTTTATAAAATGAAAACCAGGGGCTTTATGATTTGTGAAGCAAAAATAATTTGCCTTTTTCAAATAAGTTTGGTAAGACTCGTTAAGATGAGCCGTCTACTTCACTTTAAACGTCGTATTTCTATTTTTTTTTTAAATAGGATTAGGTCGAAGAGCTGAAGACCTTTCTGCTGAGCAACATCGACTTGCAATAAAGTAAGTTAATATGTTTTACAGTCCTCTGCAAATCAGTCTTTAGAGACTGTCCTCATTTTTCTAATATCTGTATATTAATTCTGTAATATGAATATTATATTGTTTATTTATCAGATCTATTGATGGATGCTTGGATTGCCTACCAATCTTTGGCTTTGACAAGCAATCAGTGATGAATAACCTTGTACATGGATTATTTTTTTAAAAATTTATCTGTTTATTTTTATTTTTTATTTGTTCTTTTTAGATATGCATGATAGTGGAGTATATTTTGACATACTATACGTATGAGGAATATGATTTACTCTAATCAGGATCCCATTCTCGTGGTTGTGCATGATGTGGAGTTACACTGGTCACGTATTAATGTATGGACATAGGAAAGTTAGGTCCTTATTTCCCATTCACGTCCCCCCTCCCTTCCCTTCATTCCCCTTTGTCTATTCTGATGAACTTCTATTCTTCCACCTTCCCCTTTATTGTACGGTGGCATCCACATATCAGGGAGAACGCGTGGCCTTTGGTTTRGGGGATTGGCTTATTTCACTTAGCATGATAGTCTCTAGTTCTATCCATTTACCAGAAAATGCCATAATTTTATTCTTCTTTGTGGCTGAGTAATATTCTGGTGTGTGTGTGGGGGGGGGGCTGAGGACAGAGGAGCTGCCCAGCGTGGGCTAGGGGGGTACCCAGAGCCCACCGAGGGAGGGGAGGCGGACCAGGTGGTTTCCTCATGGAGAAACTGGGSTGTGGAAGCCGCAGAGAACCTTTGGAAGATTCTAGTGGATTCTGCCTCCACTACGCATCTGGGGGTACCAAGGAGATGGGGCACAGCCTCGGCGCGGGGTACCTGGGAGTTTCAGAACGCCTTTCCCGTGGTTCCTAGCCGCCCCGAAGCCTTAAGCAGAACTGTTTTCACCAGATTTTCCCTGCCATCCCCCTGGCCTGTTATTCAGGGCCTCGTCTGGATGCCAAAGCAGTCAGCAGACTCGCCGCCCTAGTTTATGTGGCTTCTTCCAAGTGGAAACTGGTTCCACCCATCATTTGTTTGGGGTTTATTTTGGCAACCTGGAGGGTTTTCCCTTTTCGGAGCATCCCAGTCAACTCACAGACTCACATTAGGTCAGGTTCTCACCCTGCCTTGTGCGCATTTACCTTCATTTTGTGATGTAGACAGACAAGGGTGATAGAAAAAAGCATCTCCCAGCCTCCCAGTAGCTTCTGCCMCAGGCCCAGCCCTGGGCAGTTACAGCTGTGACCAGCAGAGGGCACCACGGAGCCCTGAGCCTGTTCTGACCACCTGCCTGGTCAGTGGGTGCTTTGAACCAGGTTGCTCTCTTCCCTGATTTCCCTATTTGCCCATTCTGAAGAAAGGTGGGAGACCACGGAGTTTTCAACTTTTAAAAAATCAAAAACTGAGTTAAAATTTGGGGCTTTGTAGTTATAGATAATAAGTGAGGTCCATTTYGACATCGTCATAAATGCATATGACATGGTTTTCTCCATTTCAATCCTCAGTACTGACCTTTCTCTTCCTTCCTCCCTCCCCCTGCCCTGTATTGGTCTTCCTTTTATTTATTTATTTGTAACTGGTTCATCATAGTTACATATAAAATTGAAATGCACGGTGACATAGTCACATCGGCACATAGCGTAATCTGTCAACTTTATTCCTCTCTTCTTCCCCTTCCCCTCCCCTCCTCGCCTCTGTCCCCATCGGTCACCTGCTTCTGCTCTGCTGTTCTCCCTTCTAGTTTTGCAAGATTCCTTTATTATGATGATCATTCATGTTTTTTTCTCTGGCTTCTGCACATGAGAGGAAACCTTTGACCCTGGGCTCTCCGAGTCTGGCTTGTTTYCCTTATCACGGTATCCTCCAGTTCCATCCCTTTTACCAGCAAATGACGACTTCACTCTTCTTCATGGCTGAGCAGAACACCACGTGTATGTRACCACATTTTATTTACCATCTGTCTCCTGATGGACACCTGGGCTGGCTTCATGACTCGCTGTTGTGGATTGCGCTGTGATACACATGGGTGTGCCTGTGTCATYATAGTAGGCTGAYTTTAGTCCTTTTGGRTAAATGTCAAGGAGTGGGATAGCAGAGTCRTATGGTGGTTCCTAGTCTTTGGAGAAATCTCCATATGGCTTTCCAAAGTGTACTAGTTTGCAGTCTCACCGACAATGTGTAAATGTACCTTTTCCGCAGGTGCTCCCCAGCAATTACCACGATTTGTATTCCCGGTGACTGCCGTTCTGACTTGGGTGAGAGGAAATCTCAGTGTAGTTTTTGATTTGCATTTCCCTGGTTGCTAAAGATGTTCAACATTTTTTCCTATACTCTTTTGACCATTGGTATTTCTTCTTTTGAAAAATGTCTCTTTAGATCTTTCACTCATTTATTAAGTGGATTATTAGTTTTTTTGATTTTAAGGTCTCTGAGATCTTTATATATGAGCCCCGAGTTGAAAGAGCAGCTGGCGAAGATTTCCTCCCATTCTGTGCTCTCTCCATGCTCTCCATGGTCTTCCTTCTGTGAAGAAGTTCTTTAATTTAATGCCATCCCACTTATTGATTATTGGTTTCATTTTTTGAATTCTAGGAGTCTTATTAAAGAAGTTGGTGTCCAGGCTCATGTGTTGGAGTGTTACCTGTTTTCTTCTAGCAGTTGCACTGTTTGTAGTACAATTCGTAGGTCTTTGATCGCTTTGAGTTGATTTTTGTGCACGGTGAGAGGTAGGGACCTGCTTTTATTCTTCTCCACATGGATATCCGGTTTTCCCAGCACCATTCCAGGGGCTGACTCTTTTCCAACTTTCGCTCTGGCACCTTTGTCAAGAACCAGATGACCGTGTTTATGTGGATCTGTCTCTGTGCCTTCTGGTCTGTGGCACTGGTCTTCCTGTCTGTCTCTCATGCCAGGTGCTCTGCTGTTTCTGTGACTGTCACTCTGTCGTATAATTCGAGGTYGGGTATCGGGGTGCCTCTATCCTCAGTCTTGTTGCTCTGCGTTGCTTTAGCTCCTCTGGATCTCTTATTCTCCCATGTAAGTTTGAGGACCCTTTTCAGTTCTGTAGAGAGTGACCTTGTTGTCTCGATGGGGACTGCACTGAGTCTGTAGGTGGCCTTTGGCCATGTGACCATTGTGAGGACACAAATTTTACCATCCATGGACATGGTAGGCCTTTCCATCTTCAAGGTGTTCTTCAATTTCTTTCTTTACTGTTTTACGATTTTCACTGTAGAGGTGTTTCACCTTATTAGTCACATTTATTCCCAAGCCTTTTATTTTATCTTGAGGCTAATGTGAATGGAATCGTTTTCTTGGTTTCTTTGAATTTTGTGTGTTGATCATGCATCTCGAAACTTCACTGAATTTGATCATCAGTTCTAGAAGTCTGCTGGAGGTTTATAGGATCATGTCATCAGCAAACAGAAATAGTTTGATTCTTCTTTTCCTGTTTGTATTTCTTTAATTTTCTCTTCCTGCTGGATTGCTCCAGGAAAGGTCTTGTCACCTTCAGTCATCCACAGAGATGACGACTGTGTTTAGGATCCGCTCACTTGCACCTCCTGGAGGAAAACCAAAGACTAGAGAGTTTTCAACTGTCTTCTTATTTTTCACAGAGTGAAGCCCTCTTTTTTGGAATACTTAAGTTACCTTCTCAATTTCATGAGTGTCATCGCTGGCCCTTGCAATCATTTCAAGGACTATGTAGCATTCATCGAAGGGAGACATACCCACATGAAGTTGCTGGAAGTGAACGGGAAGCACAAAGATTTCCACAGCTTGCCAGAGCCTTCTCCAACTGTAAGTCTTTAGTGCCAACTGTTTACTCCGAGTCCAGAGGACAGATTTTGCTGCCAGGGTTGACTCACTGCTTGTTTTAGTGAACAAGCCAGGGCTGGGGTGCAGCTCAGTGGGAGAGCATCTGTCTAACGTGCATGAGGCCCTGGGTTTGATCCCCAGCACTGCAAAAAGGGAAGCTAAACAATTCACCAGAGAGCTTGGCCAGTAACTTCCCTCACATTGGTTTAAAATGCCAATATTGGTGTTTATCTGCAGGGGTTCTCAGTGTTGGAGGACTTAGCTGGGAGTAAGGCTCTGTTCCCGGGACCTAGTACCTATCATCCACTTCCACCCAGGCCGCCCCCTGGGGACGTGCTCTCAGTAGGCCATACTGCAAATAGAAGTCCATTTTCATGAAGTTGGAAACTATGGGTCTCCAGAGTGACGTTTCCTGGAATGTCGCAAAGACTGGGCAGCGTCATTCTGTTGAAAGGAATTAAAAAGTCAGTGTCATTTGTTTCTAGAAGGGACTGCACCTGAGCCCCCCGGGAGGCTAACGCTGTCCATCACCTGCCCACACACCGGCTCAGGTGTCCTCCCCCTGGCCTAGACTCCGCTGTCCCTGAGCCTCTGACCTTCTGGCTGGGAACTCCAGCACGTGTCCTGGGTTCTGAAGGTTATAAAAGCAGAAGGCAAAGTGTTGTTTCTTCCTGATGGGAAATCGTCTCCCTGCGACGCTGCCCTTCAGTCTGATGTTGTGGATAACAAAACCACCTGCCCTTTGTTGGTGAATACGCTGAAGGAGGTTGTCATCTGTGCTGGACACGGGGGTCCTCCGTGGCCAGTGTCAGGGCAGCACCCTGTCCACGTGCTCTCGGTGGAGTTGCCCTCCATGCCTGAGTCTTCCAGTGCTCACACTGGTTATCCCCGTTTCAGGGAGCTGTGATGCACAAGTTGTGTGTCACGCTGGTGTCTCTCCTGCTGTTCCTGACGCTCACCAAGACCTTCCCGGTCACCTGCCTGGCCGAGGACTGGTTTCTCCAGAAGGCAGACTTCCCGACGCGTCTCTGCTACCTGTATGTCGTCATGCAAGCCTCAAAGCCCAAGTATTATTTTGCGTGGACGTTGGGTAAGTTTGCCAGAGGGGCCTGCTCCAGCCCGTAACCGGAGGCTCTTGAGCCAGGGTCGTTTTTGACTTTCCAACACAGCACTCATCTCCTCCTCCCACCATAAGCCCAGTCATCGCGATAGGGGACAGCCTGTCCTGGGTGCTGTTAAACCCAGGGCTATGAACASACGTCAGAACTGGGACGCTCGGTTCCACCCGTCACACTGGGCCACTGAACACGGAGGAGGGTCAGGGAAAACCCCAGAGGGGTCTGATTTCCCTCTGGTTTTCCTGGATGCTGTGTAACCCAGGAGGCCTGCTGAGTGCGTCTTACCTCACACATGCTGATTCAGGCTCACTGCCTTAAGAAAGTTAGTTTTATATTCAGTTAGACGCCAATTTCAAGTTTTTTCAGTGTTTAAGGTAGAATGTTCAATTTTATTTGGTCTTATCACACTTTTTTCCCCCCTGTGGGGTAACTTGGTCAGTATTAAACTTTTTTGAGGGGGGTGGGTACTGGGGWTTGAATTCAGGGGCATTCAATCACTGAGCCGCATCCCCAGCTTTTTTTTTTTTTGTATTTTATTTAGAGACACAGTCTCTCTGAGGTGCTTGGGGCTTCACTAATTTGCTGACGCTGGCCTTAAGCTTGCTATCCTCCTGCCTCAGCCTCCTGAACTGCTAGGATTACAGGTGTGTGCCATTGCACCTGGTTTTTGAAAAGTTTTTGAGGTTGGGTCTCCCCAGTTATGGAGGTTGGTCTTGTACCTATGACCCTCCCACCTCAGCCTCCCAAGTTGCTGAGATTGCAGGCACGGGCCACCCACGGTACCTGCCATGTGCTGTTATTTAATTGTGGTGAAATAGACATAATACAAAGTTCACTCTTTCAACCACCGTTGAGTGTACGATTCAGTGGCACGAAGTACGTCCACGAGGCTGTTCTGCCATCGTCTCCAGAGCTTTGTCATCTCCAGGTGGAAACCCTGTACCCATTCAACCCCAACTTCCTATCCTTCCCAGTCCGGATTATCGTAAGGGCCYACGTGCCCACGCCCAGCGCCTGGCGGTCCTCCTGCTCCGTTTGGCCGGAGAGGTCTGAGGCAGAGACCTTCCGAGTCCACAAAGCTGGGCATCTTGTTTCTGATTACGTTCAGTTTAACTCGGGGAGTTTGGTGAGCACAGGCTTTGGGCTGGGAGGAATTCAAAGCTGGGTGAGACGCTTTCCCTACCCCAAGATTGAGACGACCTGGGGGACCGTGGACATGGCCAGCAGCCAGGCAACAGGCCTAAGGGCGGTCAGAGCCCAGAGACCACCATCCTTATGCATGGGGCGTGGGGAAGGCATCGTCCCATTCCTCCTTCTGCTATTGCTTTTTTTTTTTTAGTACTAGAGATTAACCTCGGGGACACGTGACCACTGAGCCACATCCCCAGCCCTTTTTATATTTTATTTAGAGTCAGGGTCTCACTGAGTTGCTTGGGGCCTCCCTAGGTGGCTGAGGCTGGGATCCTCCTGCCTCAGCCTCCCAGGCCACTGGGATTCCAGGTGTGCGCCCCAGGCCTGCAATCGCTTTACTGTTTAGAAATGAGGCTTTCTTTCCTGGCCAGGTGTTAGACCTACTCAAGGTGGGAACCCGCTTGCCACACTGGGTGTGGTTTCATCTGTAAAACAGTTAATGGTTCTCTTTAACCTGAGTACGCGTGGGCATCTGCGCAGCAGAGAACACCGTGTGTCCCCCCGCCCCTTTCCTCCTTCTCCCTCCTCCCCCCATCCTTCCCTCTCCCTTTTTCCTTTCCTTCTGCTCCCCTGTTTCCTACCAGGCCTGGAGCCTGGAGGAGGGAAGAAAGGCCATCCTGTGGCCTCCGAGGGAAAGTCCAGCTTGAGCCGGCTGTCCAGTAGGACCTGGGGTCACAGGCAGCGGGGGCGCCTGCATCCTCCGGCCTGGAGAGCGCCCCCAGGGAGGCCCCGTCCTGGAGAACCCTCCCTGTGGACCCCCCTCCCAGCCCCCCACCCTCTCTTGATCTTGTTCTGGGTGCTTTGTAGCAACGCCTCATTGGTTTCTGTCGCCTCCGTCTGAAGTTGGTTTYGGCTCAGGCTGGAGCTCAGGCTGGTCTGAAATTAACCTTTGTATTATTTATGAATAAAGAAGCCATGAAGAGTGTATCAGGGAATATTTAAACTGCTTAACCGAATAATGGTTGGATCCAGCTCTTTAAAACGCCATTTGCATATAATTGATGTACTAATTATAGGCGATTATGAATTTAATCCTTCAGGCCGACCTCTCACGGTGCATCTCAGCCGAGCCTCACTAGCTCCAGTTACTGTTTATGTTGAAATAATAAAATTATTTTCTTTGGACTTAGCATCCAATTTTGCTTATTCTCCYCCTCCTGTCGTTAGTGCTAATTAGAGAGCCTCAATTCCAGCCCAGGCTGCGTTCTAAGGATCAAACTCCAATACGAGGGYGTTGAAGTGAATGGATCGGAAATAATAGGTCAGAGCCACGCACAATCCAAGGAAGTTAGTTTTGGACCCGGGTACTCACTACCTCCGACTGCTCTGGGACACAAAGGTGTCCCAGAGAAGCCACTACAGAGTGGGGACTTCGGACCTTGTTTCAGAGGTGGGGGCCTGAGAGTCAGGACCTGGAGTCGCTCACCACTTGCTCTTTAGAGTGGCTCTCAGCTGACCAGGTTGTGCCGTCAGAGGCCCAGCATTTGGATTCTGGCATCGTTCCCCTCTGCGTGGTCTTAACGTTCATCTAACACTAACCTCAGGCCCCTTCATAGCCGCTGAGAGGTGGCCATGCTGGTGATAACAATGGCAGCCGGGCGGGGTGGTTGTGCACACCTGTAATCCCAGCCTCTTGGGAGGCCAAGGCAGGAGGATGGCAAGTTCAAGGCCAGCCTGGGCCACCTGATGAGACACTGCCTCAAAATATATGATAAAAAGGGCCGGGGGTGTAGCTCATGGTAGAGGACTGGCCTGGCACGCACAGAGCCCTGGGTCCCACCCAGCACTGCAGGAAGAACATGGCAGCCAGCGTTTGTTGCGGGCTGCCTTGGGCCAGGCTCGGCGCTCCGTACTCCACACACTCATTTTCATTTAATCCTTTCAGCAGCCCCTTAGGATCGGTGCCATTAGTGTATCCATTTTCTACATAGGGAATGGTTCCGAGAAGGCAGACGGCTCTCCGGGGCCGGGCACACAGCCCACAGCCGACCCTGCCCTGGGCCACCTCTAAGACGGTTGTGAGGACTGCAGAAACGCTGAGCAGCTGTGACCGCCCAGTCCCGGGRTGACTGTCGGTCACTGTCCTGTTCTTTCCGTCTGACCAGTGCTGGGGGTGGCAGCAGGCGCTCAGGGATCACTGCGTGAGCCCAGCTGCAGGCAGCCAGCTCTGGTCTCAGTGTCCACGTGGCCTCAAGGGCCCTCTCCTRTGTGGTTCACCTCTGTTGGTCACCAGCTTGTCTCCACGCGGGTAGAACCGCAGACGCCTTCTGACACTCTCTCATTTTGGTTGCCTTTTTCTTTGACTCTTGGTCACKTGGGAGGATGACACAGAAAGACTCAGTGCTCCTTCCTCCTTTCTTCCAAAAGGAAGCCAATCACTTTACAGTGGGCCGAGACGGGGAGGAGCACCATGGGGTCGCCAGCTGTGCCCAGAGTGGAGGACGCAGAGAGGGTTTTGTTTGTGTCAGTGCAGGGGTGGAGCCCAGGTCTGGCACAGGCGAGGCCGGCGCTCCACCACGGAGCYGCACCCCGGCCCAGGACAGGTGGCTCTCTTTGGACAGCTCTTCTGCCGCCATCTTGGTTTGGCCATGAACTCTTAGAGGGAGGAGTTCTCCACCCTTCCTCCAGGTCTGAGACTACAGTGCGGGGATTTAATTAGTTTGAYTGATTATTTTCTGAAAGGATTCTAACAAAATTTGAAACAAGATAAATGAAAAGAGAAAACTAGCTTCTTGGTCATTGTCCTGAGGGTGTGTCAGTCTCGGTGGGTTTCAGGAACACTTCGTTAGCGCATCCCCCGGCGAGTGCCGGGCTGGTTCCAGTGAYGGCTTTGGTCCTCTGCTGGGTCCCCGTTCATGCCCATCTCTACTCTGAGCGCGGGTGTACTTGTGTCTCTTTCTCGCGCCCATCCGGTTGGCCAGTAGGTCCTGCTGTTCACGTCTTCATGTCAGTTTTTCTCTCTGATTCATCCTCGAGGTCACCATCTGGGATCCTCTGGCGTCTTTCCTCCTGGCAGGTCTCCCTGGTGCCAGGGGATGAGTGAATGAGAATCAAGGTCCCCAGACAGCCAGATGGATGCTTCTSGTTCACGAGACCAGATCCTTTGAGTTTGTTGGTTCCTTTCCCCGGGAGCCAGCACCATCTCTCCATGCCCAGTTAGGCCAGTCTTCCAGCAGCACGTGACTGTCGTTCGCGCCCTAACTTACTGTTCTAAACCCACAGCTGATGCGGTGAACAACGCGGCTGGCTTTGGGTTCAGTGGCGTGGATAAGGACGGCAGGTGCTGCTGGGATCTGCTGTCCAACCTGAACATCTGGAAAATAGAGGTGAGTGGGTCCCCACGTTTCGCTGCTGCATGCAACAGCCGGGGCAGGTGGTCTGCCCTGAGCGCCGTTTCCCTGACGTTCCTCAGCAGATGACCAGGGGAAGCCGCTCTGGGAAGGCCAGGTCCCGCAGCCCCTGGACATTTTGCGTCTCTGATTCCCCCCCTTGTTCCTTTGAAGATCCCCGCCTTCTTGATAGCTGTAATGCTTCAAGGAAGGACGACACCAAACTCTGGGAAGGAGCCAGGAACACCTCTCTGCTGCTCACATTCCTGTTCTTTTGGCTGGAAGTGCACTGTCCTGTTCTCTAGCTTACATCCTGCTTGCTTCAGCAGAGTGCAGAACCGGGAGCTCCTGTGTCAATACGGCAAGTGTTTTCTGCGGATCCTTTGGAAACAGTTSTCATTGTTTTCTTTTAAGGAGAATGGTCGTGGGCTGCGGTGGTGGCTCAGCGGCAGAGCGCTCGCCTTGCACGTGTGAGGCGCTGGGTTCGATCTTTAGCACCACATAAAGATAAATAAGTAAAATAAAGGTCTAAAAAAATACAATAACATTATTAAGGAAAAAAAAAAAAAAGAAGAAGAAGAAGAATCGTGACGTCCAGCCTCCGGGCCGCTGGATCTGTGTGGTTCTGCTTTCYGGGTCTTTATTCTGGACCGCGAGGGTTTGCACAGGTTGCTCCTCACACATGGTGTCCCTGGCCGCCCCACTTGTGGTCTTCTTTTCTCTGTTAGCGAGAGGACGGTCAGCAGGGCCAGCCCAGGGCCTTCCCTCCTCCCAGCTGGCTGGTGTTCTCGGCACACCCAGCTCCACGTCCCTAGCCAGGTGGCTCCTGTCTCTGCTGGGCTCGGTTTCCTGCCACCAGGGCAGGCACAGTGCCCGGGGAGAGAGTGGGCAGAGGGGTCGTGGTGGGTGCAGGAAGTCAGGGATGTGGGGAGATGGGTCGCCTTCCACCCCCGCAGAAGCTGGGCCAGGAGGAGAGTGGGGTGCTCTCCTTTCCAGGGACTCAGGAAAGCCCCCCAGGCAAGGACGGCCTCCACCCCACAGAACAGAGGGGCTTGGGGGAAGGACGGGGTTTTTATTTCTTCTCCTTCTTTCTCTCCTCCTCCTCTTCCTCGTTCTGCTCTTTTCTGCTTTTCTATGTATTTTTAGGAAGCATAGACACACTGGTACCTGTCGTCCAACCACATGGCCGCACAGTCAACTCACAGTGTCCCTACTCACGCCAGAGCCAAGCCATGCTGCTGAGTGCCCACCAGGGACAAAACCCTCATTCCCGGATAGGTCTAGAGGCCCGGGGGCCCTGTGGGCGGAGCGCCTGGGCACACAGACAGCCGGGGCCCAGCACTGCTCCTGAGAGAGGAAGGAAGCCTTGCCTGTGGGTTGCCTCCGGGAGGTCAGAAGCAGAGTTCCAGCCTTCACAAGGACTGTCCCGGGTTTGGACAGGCCCCGAGGGCCGTCTGTGTCATCTCCTTTCTATTTAGAGTGACGTTTCTCCCTTGTCCACTTCTGAACTTCTYCTCTCCTCTGGGCTCAGGGACCCCCTGGCGCTGGGCAAGTGTCCTTCAGAGGGCTCCCCTCCCTCCTGGCTGCCCACAGTGTGCCCACGGTGCCCCAAAGGACCGTCCTCTCAGTGGGTGTGTTCAGGGCCTGAATTATCAGTTACGTGTTTATCATAAAAGGAAACCAGAGGAGAGAGGCGGCGTCACCATGGTGTTGGATACAGAACATGGCAGCCTGGTGCAGTCAGGGTACCGTGAGGCTGTGCCCTAGAAAAATGGGGAGCCAGACCCCTTAGTGTTTTAAAGTAAAAATAACACAAATCTAACTGTTTGCCTGTAATCAGTCCATCTGTCTGTCTTCCACCTGCATCTGTCTTCCTCTCCCCTTTCACTGCCTGCTCACTCCCTTCCCGGTATGTGTCACCCAGTATGTGTCACCAGGCCCCTGTGTGGCCTACTAGGATTTTCTTGTGGTTCATAAACTTCAGCAGGAAGACATGGCGCCCCACTTCCGCGGGCGCTAGGAATCATGGTCCTCCTATGTGTGCTCCAGGCTTTTTAGCCCTGGCCTTTGGTACCACAATATACATATTGTAATGAGAAGACCCAGTTGACAGTTGATTTGGGGACATCTCTCCCTCGAGGTGGATTGGCTTTCATCATGGCYGGGATCTTTCCTGGTTTTCTTTTCTGCACTGTGATCCCTTCATGTGTGAAGCCTTTGACTCTTGCAGACCCAGCCAGAAGCTTCTCAACTCTTGTAGCTCTTTATAGAATTAACYGCCAAGAGTGACCTGGTTTGTACGTGGCCCCAAATGCAAAGATGACAATTACATTTAAACTGTCTCCCTAAAGGCGTTAAACTCACAGGATCGCGCTTTTCCTCTGGTGCATTTTCTTTGTGGAATATTTTACTTTTAAGATTCAGATGACTTAAAATTTTTTTTTAATCAGAGCGGAAGGGAAATCCACAAAATGTTCCTTCGGTTTTCCTATAATTTGAAAATAAAGGTGGAGAAGAATTCAGACTTTGAAGCCAAGGTTTCGTTGCCAGGTTGATCTCATAAACACCAGGAAGCCTCCCTGCTTGGATGCTGCAGCCCTGCGGCTCTTGCCTGAGACGGTCATTGTGGAACACCACACTCGCTCTGCCGCCCGGGAAATGCTGGAGAGGACTTTCCGAGACTTGGTATTTCTGCAGCTAATGATAGGTGTGATTTTCTTCTCTCTAGACTGCCACGAGTTTCAAAATGTACTTGGAGAACTGGAACATCCAGACGGCTGCGTGGCTGAAGTGGTAAGGAAATCAGAAGCAGGCTCCTGACTCAGGACACTGGGGCATGCTTTGAGGGACATCCCAGGCCATCGGCCGTCATCTGAGTAGTAGTCTTCTGACCCTTTTGTTTTGTGTTAATATCTATGTCCTATAAATGAAAAAAAAAAAGTCGAAATAAGTTGATTTGAGAAGGCCACAATGTAACATTTATTTTATCTCATACTACTGTCATTACTGTGTGCCAGTCATTTATCCTACAAATTAGCTTCATAAGATGTTGATCATTAGCCCCACTTTACAGATGAGGAAAGTGAAACACAGAGAGGTTATGCAACTCACTCAAGTGACAAGTTTGAGCCCAAATGGTCTGTCTGCAGGATCAGGCTCTTGTCCTCTGTGCTGTGCTGCTGTTACCTCAAGTGACAGGTTGCAGTCAAAACACGGGTACATTAAAAATATTGTATGGAATCACCTTCAGGGTATGCGTGCAAAGTGTCTATGAAACAGACAAATGTTGTGCCTTTGACTTGGGTCCATCCCCAAGATGGCTCGTTGTGGATATGCAGGTGTTCTAAAATCTGCAAACATGCGGAATCCAAAACACCTCTTGGGATACTTAACCCATGTCACTCTTCAAGGCAGATTCCTGAGTCAAAAATCTGATGGATAGGTGAGGCCTGAGCAGGTCATGTGACTGGCACGCTGATTTTTGTGCCCGAGTCCTTGTCCAGGAAAGACTGAGTGAGGACATCCATTTCTCAGGACCCTTCGCCGATTCCAAAATTTTCAATGCAGTGGCCCTCACTCAAGTTCCCCCAGATATGAGACCACGGTTGGAAACAGTTAGGCAGGAATCTTGCTCAGGCCTTCGTTGGGGCACCCTGGGCCCAGGCCATGTAGTCTATGAGGTTGGACATTGATCACATCTGCCAAGGCCGAGGTGTGGTCATTTGTCTGGTCGGGCTCAAGGGGCCCAGAGCAGCACAGGCTTTGTGGTTCCATAGCAAGACCCTGGACAGCCCGAGGCCAGTGCCCATCAGAAATGGCTTCTGCAGGGCCTGCTCCAAAGAGGGGCAGGTGCAGGGCAGGTGCAGGGCAGGGGAGGGCAGGGCCAGGCTCCACATGCTTGCCTTCACTGTTCCTTCCTCTCTTTGCAGCGTGTGCTATGAGCGGGTTCCCTGGTGCCCTACGGTGCTGACCTTCGTCCTCTCCGCCCTCTGGCATGGCGTCTACCCGGGGTACTACTTCACCTTCCTAACTGGAGTCCTCGTCACGTTAGCAGCTCGGGCGGTAAGCTGCCTCGGGTGTGGGGTCTTCCCTTCAGCGATCTGGCGCTTGGATCTTTGTTGGTATCTTTTAGGTCCTGGTAGAAATTGGGGGGGGGCGAGAGGGACAGTGGGAATGATATTTTGAAAAATCAAACAACAGACAAAAATCTTCCTATTAGAGAAATACTTCGTGTACCTGTGATCATTACAAAGACAACCATTTTATTTCTGTACCATTTACAGAGGGTTTTTGTAAAACAAAAGGAATTTTAGGAGCAATATTTATTACCTTAAGAGATGAACACATTTTAATTATTAAAGCCTGCGAAGACACAGTCTACTAATTATAGACGTTGATGATTGTTCACGTTGGCTCCGTATAACTTCAGTTTGGTTATGTACTGCTTAATTTAACAGTTTTTAAAAGATTTTTTAAAAAGATGGACACAATATCTTTATTTTATTTATTTAAAATAGATAAAAATTTTTAAATTTTGTTTTTATGAGGTGCTGAGGCTCATACCTGCTGCCTCACATGTGCAAGACAAGTGCTCTACTGCCGAGCTATAATTTTGGCCCCTAATTTAACCTTTTATTATCCCGAGTCTAGAGAGAACTCACAGGGCAGTGAGACAGCCCCCACAGGGCAGGAGCTGTGCCCTAGGGGACCGACCTCACCTCTTACGGTCTCGAGTCCGATCCAGTTAACTTTGTGTAACATTATTTGTGAATTTCACAAATCGAGTTTTTGTGTGTTTTTTGTTTTTTGTTTGTTTTTTTGAGAAGCCTCTAGCTTGTCCTCGGTTGTTCCTGCCACTCGATTATTAGAAAGCCAGGTCTTAAAGGAGTGAAAAATGTGATCGTCTTCCAAGAAGACGAACGTGCATAGAAGTACTTGCAATTCCAAGTGTTTCTGTGGCCACATGCAGGGTGATGGATTTGGCTTAGTCCCAGCCCTTGATGGTGGTGGTGGTCTTTCTTAGTTCAGACGCCAGGAGTTTTAAATGACACTAGTTGCAGTCCACTTTAGATGTGGATTTCAGAGCCTTCGATGCATTCATCCTGTGAATCTGTCAGGAGCCACACACGGGCATCGTAGGTGCCGCGTTATCCCAGCCCACACGACATTCCCCTGGGGAATTCCTGCCTTCRCTGGGCGGAAGCGTGCTGGGGTCCACGGGCAGACAGGGCAGAGGGCTGGCTGCTGTTTGCTGGTTACAATACTTTTCAAACTGAACGCATTTGCACTTGCTTGCTCACGACCAGCAGGGCGGACGGGTCTCCTCTCCCATCCATAACAAAGCTCTGATGAGGAAGGACCGCGAGAGAGCTTTTTTTGGGGGGGCTTGGAAATCTCCCTCACCTTCAGGTGGTGGAGGGGAGAGGGAGGGTTCATGGAGCAGGGTGTCCGTCTGTTCTAGAAGGAGATGGAACTCCACAGTCAGGAAGTCTGAGGCCGGGGGGAGCCACCTAATAGTGTCCCACGGAAGCCCAGCCTGGTCTGCCCTGGAGAACTCAGGGGGCCAGGCTCCCCTCCTGTGGGCTGCATGGCCTGTCACCGTTCCCGTCCTCAGGAATCTGGAGAGGAGGTGTCCCCCGGAGGCACGCCAGTCACAGTGTCTGAGGAGTGGCAGGGGGTCGCCCTCTGACAGCCTTTCCCACACCAGGGAGCTGTCTGAACGTCTTCCTCTGTAGGATAGGGACGAAGGTGCTTCCTTGGTGGGCTCTTGGCCCAGGCGTGGCACCTGGAGCACCCGTAAGTGGCAGCTGTGCCTACTGTTAGGAAGAGTGACGTGGTTTGTTCCACCATCACCCAAAGGAAACAATCAGGGGACAGCGGAGAGATGTATTGACTAGGGAATGCGTCACAGAGCTGTTTGTAATAGCAAAACGGGAGGTGAGAAGACAAGCTAGCTCCCACRATTCACTTAAAATCATGATGGAGAGTACTGTTTACTGACATGGGAAAAGCCCATGGTAGATGGTTAAATGAAAAGTCCATGAGCGATAGTTAACAGGAGTGCCATTAAGAATACAAGTGGGATACCATAGAAACAGGAAACGCTTTGCAGGGCTGTTGTGTCTTTTTTTTTTTTTTTTTGAGGGGGTATTGTGGATCGAATCCAGGGGTGCTTAACCACTAAGTCACATCCTGGCCCTTTTTTAACATTTTATTTTAAGACAGGGTCTCACTAGGTTGCTCAGGTCCTTGCTAAATGAGGCTGGCCTCAAACTTGCAATCCTCCTGCCTCAGCCTCCAGAGCCACTGGGATTACAGGCGCATGCCTCTGCACCCAGCGATGTGCCAAATTTTTAAACAGTGCTTTTTTTCTTAGGAAGATGTTTAAAAAAAAAAAGTCTTTTTTTTTTCTTAGTTGTTTCTTAAATGTTTTTCTACAGTGAACCTGTATTTCTTTTTGTCAGTAAGGAAGGCCACCCTGGTATCTTCAGGGGGGAGGAGAACTCTGGAGGTTGGTGATTTTCGGCAGCCCGTGTTCTGTCTCTCACCCGCCCCCTGCCCTGCTTGACTTGCAGGTGAGGAACAACTGCAGACATCACTTCCTTTCTTCCAAAGCTCTCAAGTGTGCGTATGACCTGGTGACCTGGGCTGTCACTCAGCTGGCCGTCTCCTACACGGTGGCGCCCTTCGTCATGCTGGCCGCGGAGCCTGCCCTCAGCTTGTACAGGTGAGTTCCCTGCCCTCTGCTGCCGCCGGGCAGACTGCTCTGTGGTCTGTGGTGGACTTAGAGTCGGGTGGGTYCCATCAGCATAGTGACACTGAACCAAGAATTCCCAAAGGGGACCTTCCGAGGAGGCGCCTGCCCCAGGACCCCACCACACCCCATCAGCACCTGCGGGGAGGTTCCAGGGAGCGCCTCAGTGTTCCTGGTGCCGGTAAGGGGCGCTCCAGGCAGTGARGTGCTCCAGGTTAGAGATTCTGCCTCCACTGCTCTCCCTGGCCACAGTGGGGATCAGAGGGCCRGAGCCGGGCCCAGGTTTGCATGGTCTGTAGCAGCGCTCTGTGTCCTTCATGAGGCGCTGCTCTGGGGGGTGTGCACGGGGGTTTGTTCTCCTGATGCACGTGGTGGAGAGGGGTGTGTGGGATTTAGGGTCCAGAGGGAGGCTCCCACCAGAGGTGCGAGGGGTTCCCGAGTCGGACCCTGCGCTGCCAATGCACTGCTGACCTGCAATTGCTTCCTTTTCTTGTTTTACACTGATGTTTGATCTGTTGTGTTTTCCCACCACTGTGAAATGGTGGGGCACCGAGCCTTGGAAACTTCCTGTGTCGCCTCACCGTGAAAGGAGGCCAAGAGTAGAATCCACCGCAAGTGTGGTGGTTGGGACTGTCCTTAGAATTGAACAAGGAGGATTTGCAGAGGGCCCAGGCCAGAACCTATGGTCTGAATTCAGTAAATGTAGCTTCATTACTGCTGAGCAGCACAGGCTTTTCCAGGTACTGTTTTGAACATAGTATGGCTACAAAGGAAAGCGACTTAGAAAAAAGAGACACAGTGCAGTCCTCAGGGCTCAGGAAATGACACTTCAAGTTTTGATGCCTTGTCATGCAGAATGCTTTGAACTAAAGGAGGGCCAAGGTCTCTCCTCGCCCCCCTACCCAGCCCCAGTCTCTTGCCCTTATTTTTCCTCCCGAAGTGCAAGAAGGGGCTTTCTCTGAAATTCTCCTATTTATGTAAAGGCTGGGCTTTTTTGCAAGAAAAATTGACGTGCATCCAACACCCTGGCAGCCTTTGTCCCAGGGGGTTGCCTGTCATTCCGGCCTGTTCTCCCCTAAGTCCTTTGTTCTCCCTCTGGAGCTGCCCACAGCTTCACCCTTCCCTCCCCGGTGAGAGGATGTTTAAGCTTCAGCCATCTGGCCCTTGACATTCTTCACGGGACCCCAGGCACAGTGCACATGATAAATCTCTACCCCTTTCTCCTGTTCATCTGTCTGCCTGTTTTCCGTTTGTTTCTGCAGACCCAGATCCTGCATAAACACACCTTATTTGTGAGCTGAGGGTTCCCCGGACTGGTTAGGAATGGATTGGAACTTTTCCTGTCCACTATGTGTATCGGTATCCATAAGTAAGAGGATTTTCTTAAGATTATAGGAAAAGAAGGTGGAGGGAACTTTACACACTCATCAGTGAGGTCTGTTCGGCTACGTGTGTTTCCACGGTATAGTAGGTGATGAGCAGTCACACCGGGGTGACGTGGAAGTTGTGCTGGTCACGCACCGTGTTCCTGGGATGCCAGGAGAGCAGGAAGAGTTACCATCTCTGCAAACCGGAGCCCTCAGTTCAGCCGCTGCAGCAGGAGGAGCCTCTTTGCTCTGTACTAGGAAACTTGACTTGAGCACCCCTCCCCGTGCTCCCCAGGAGACCACGCCCCCGGGCTCCCCCAGAGACCACGCCCCCGGGCTCCCCGAGACCACGCCCCAGGCTCCCCCAGAGACCACGCCCCAGGCTCCCCCAGAGACCACGCCCCCGGGCTAACCCAGAGACCACGCCCCCAGGCTCCCCCAGAGGCCATGCCCCCAGGCTCCCCGGAGACCACGCCCCTAGGCTCCGCCCTCTGCCCTCAGCTGGCTGGAGCCCCTGTCCCTTCCTTGGGGCCGCCCCCTGTCCAGCCTCCCTTTCCGTGTCCTTCTGTCAGGGCCCTGGATCAAGCAGGCATTTTCCCCGTTGCCTTTGCATTGTTAGTTCCCTCCGGCGAGGTCTTCAGCCGCGGGAGCTCTCGGCCTGGGCTGTCCAGATGTCGCCATGGGTGTGGGTCTGTGGGTCTGTCCTGCTTGGCCTCCTGGTCCCTGAAACTCCCAGGTGTGGAGTTGTCTGCCTCTAGGGCAGGACCCCCTGCCCCCAGAAGCCCCCGAATTCTAATCACGAGATTTTTCCGGAATGTATTTGTCATGTTACAGCAAAACTGTGTGTGTCCCACCGAGTCCATTGGATCCCTACAGCGCCCTGGACGTTGCGCAGTGGACAGGTCATTCGTGCTCCCACGGAGGTGACAGCCCGATGGGAGAGGGAGATAAGGGTGACAAATTATAAACACACCCTGAGACAAAGATTCGGGAGTCTATCTACAGGAATCTGACCCTCCCTGGGGCAGAGGGCAGCTCTGGGCGGAAGTGGCCTTTCAGCTGGGCCCTGGGGCAGGGCTCTGGGCTGTGCTTCTGGGATGGGAAYGGCATGGAGAGGCCCCTGGGGAAGGAGGAAGCTTCAGACCTTGAACTCCTGAGAAACAGGGATGTGCACAGATCAGTAAAGTGCGCAGCGGTGGCTGGGAGAGAGGGGGATAGGCTACAGTCTCCCCATTCATCCCGTGAGGAAGTGGAGACCCAGAGAGGGTGCGTGGAATAAAACTCACACAGCAACCCAGAATCAGCTCTGCGTTTCAGACTCAAAGTTCCTTTAATGGCAAGATCAGCAGTGTAATCACTAAAAATTTGTTGAGGAGAAGCTATTTTGGAAGTAAATTGCTGCTTGCAGATCAAAGTAAGTTAAGACATGTTTATGATAACTTGCATTTAACCAACTAAAGTGTGTGCTAATTCCGGCACTTAGGTGGAATCAAATTGTTGTCAAGCGGCTTTCCATGGCTTTAAAAAAATAATCTAAAATGCGTTTTTAAACACCTTTGTTGAGGATAAAACAAAATATTTTTCCAAATTGGTCCATTAGAGTTGATGTCACCTAAAGTTATCTGGCATGTATGATAATACGTGTAATCCATACTCTATGTGTAAGCTCCCTGTCTGCATCAGCCCAGCCCAACAGAAGCGTCTGTGATGGATGACATGTTCTTTTCTCTGGGCATTAGATGGCCCACGTATTAGCCACGAGCATGTGTGACCATTGAGCATTTGGAATGAGCCTTCAATCCCATTGAATTTTAACAGCCACCTGTGTACCCATGGCCATTGGAGATTGATTGCACCTCCAACGTGTTTTCAGAATCTCTTGAGAACCTCTGAATCTGATGAAAGAGTCAAAATCACCAGCCATTCAGTGGAGTGAGCCTCGGTTGCTTTCTGGGTCTGCACCTCACGGGGCTCCCAGCTGTCACAGGCCACCAAAGATAGCTGTCGGCAAACCTGTTTGTCAGCATGCCCTGCGTTGCTCAGCCTTCAGGCCCCTCCTGTGCTTTGTGTTTGTGTCTGGTCGGCTTTCAGTCTAGAGTGTCCTCAAATTACAGCTTTAAATCTCTCAACACTTTTCCTTTGAATTGTCAGTGACTCTCAAGTTTAATGAACACTTGACTGTATTATTATTAATATTATTATTATTTTTTTTTTACTGGAGATTGAACCCAGGGGGGCTTAACCACTGAGCCACACCCCCAGCCCTTTTCTGTATTTTATTTTGAGATAGGGTCTTACTAGGTTGCTTAGGGCCTCGCTAAGTTGCTGAGGCTGGCTTTGAATTCACGATCCTCCTGCCTCAGCCTCCCAAGCCGATGGAGTTATGGCTGTGCACCGCTGCACCTGGCCACTTGACTGTATTCTGAAAGAAACTTTCTGTGAAACCATTTTGAAAATCCAAATCCTCATACATTAATTTGTCTTTAATTAGATAATGCTTTCTTAAATTCAGCGTGTAGGAATGTGGGAAGAAATTTTGCAGATGGCAGACTCCTTGAGGGCAAAGATTGTGCCTTCTTCACTTTTGTGTCTGGAGGATTTGGGTCAGCACCTTGGCCTGCTCAGGAAATGTTGAGCTGAGTCTTTCTTTAATAAAAGGATGAAACAGTCTTTCATTTTTAATTAATAAAATTATAAAGTATAGGATACATCTTATTCTCATCATTAGGACCCCATTCTTTATAGTCCTAGAAAAATGTGGAATCTCAGAAGTGGTTACTAAACCTCTCTAGGGAATCAAAATTTTGCCAAAGTATTTGGATTTATTTAATTAATTATATTTGCAGTACTAGGGATTGAACTCAGGGGTGCTAGATCACTGAGCCACATCCCCAGCCCTTTTTTATTTATTTTATTTATTTCACTAAGTTGCTAAGGCTGGTCTCAAACTAGCAATCCCTCTGCCTCAGCCTCCCAAATCGCTGGGATTGCAGGCATGCATCACCATGCCTGGCTGCTGTTTGGATTTAATCTAATATAGTTGCTACCATGCCGATTTGGCCATGTATAAAAGATTAATGCAAAACACCCGGACAAAGTGTATTTTAGGTGTGTAGACTTGGAAAGCCGTAGTTACCTATGGCTAGAGCACATTTTGAGAAAACCTCAGTGTATATGTGTTAACCAGCATGTTTATCTGTGGAGCCCTTTTTCACCCTCAATAATGTTCTTAGAAGTAAATTAGATGATTAATTGCTGTACCTATTCACCCTTTGCTTCTGGTTAGGTGAGCATTAATCATGTCCAGTCGGTCCTCTGTATCGATGGGTTCGGTAGCCATGGATTCAACCAACCGTGGATGGAAAATAGGTAGAAAAAAATTGCTTCTGTCCTGAATGCATACAGACTTCTCCTCTTGTCATTACTCCCGAAATGATGTAGTGTAACAAGTATTTGCATAGCACTTACACTGTGTAAGGTATTATAGGTAATCCAGAGATGATTGAAGTACTTTAAAGTACTCCAGAGTACGTGCGTATGTTATATGCAAAGGCTGTACTATTTCATGTAAGGTGCAGTACCTTTGGGGAATCCTAGAACCAATTCCCATGATTCCACAGGAGGATTGTTCTCTTGTTATCATTGTCCCAAGAGAGGGGGGGGAGGCTTATGTCTTTTTGTAGATCCTGGTTTAATGCTTTACACTTTCCTTTTTCTTTTTTTGGTGTGGTCCTGGGGATTGAACCTGGGGTGCTTCCTCATTGAGCTACATTACCAGCCCCACCCCTCCTTTCTTTAAAAACTGTTTATTTTGAGACAGCCTCTTACTGATTTACTTGGGCCTCGCTGAATTGCTGCGGCTGGCCTTGAACTTGCAAGGCTCCTTCCTCAGCCTTCTGAGCTGCTGGGATTATTCACCATCGTGCCTGGCTAATGCTTCATCATCTGAAGCCATAAATGTTTATTGAAACATTAAATGAATGAAAATCTATTCCTGCTCTTGACTCTTCTGCAGACCACTGTAGGGAGATTCCTCCTGCTGAAGGAGGGGGCAGCTGAGAGCATTTCCTGGTACTCCTGTGCCTAACGTTCTACTTAAAGCTGAAGAATGATGCTTAAGTCATTGTGTTTCCCCCTTCCTCTCACACTATTTCTCTTGAATCTTAAGACGGTGTTGGAGAGCTGGGCACGGTGGCACATGCCTATAATCTCAGTGACTTGGTAGTCTGAGGCAGGAGGATTGTGAGTTCAGAGCCAGCCTCGGCGACTTGTCGAGCCCTAAGCAACTTAGTAAGACCCTGTTTCAGAATTTAAAAAATAATCAAAAGGGCTGGGGATGTGGCTCAGTGGTTAAGCGCCCCCAGGTTCAATCCCTGGTACCCCCCCCCCCGCCGCCCCCCCGCCTTTTCTCCTGGAGAAAGCACCCATTCCAGCATCCAGATGGATCCGGAACAGTTCTGCTAATGTCGGCTGTTTCTAAGTACACACATTTATTGATAGGCTGTGCCCAATAAATATCAGCATCTACATCGTGCACACTGCTGAAGGATGTGTGTGTGTGTGTGTGTGTTTTTTTAATGAAAGTCAGAGCTCAAGCATAATACTTGTTTCTTAGTTTGGATGGAACTTATTTTCAGGATTATAGACCAGTTTTCAAAATCAGAATCCTTCATGAGACACACAAGAAGAACCCCTCACACTTAGGAAGAACATACAGGGGAAAGTATTTATTAAATTTGTGTTGAGAATTGGGTTGGAGTTGGTTCTTGTGCATTTTGAATGTTGAAGATTTCTGGCTTATGGAGCGACTTCTCTTAGTCTGCTTATTATGTTCCTGGAGCAGTATGACGCTTGTCTGCAGATGGCTGGTTGGTTCTCTCYGCACAGCTTTGAGGGACGGGCAGGGCCAGCCTGAGGAGGCTCCTTGGCACCTCTAAAACAGTGTCTCCACTTGCCTACTGAAGATGAGGTGCTCAGGAGGTATTTCCCATATAGGTCCTTTGAAGTATAACTTTTTTTTTTTTCCCTAGGTCCATGTACTTTTACTTACACATCATAAGTCTCCTGATCATACTTTTTCTGCCAATCAAACCACAAGCTCATCTTCAAAGGCAGCCTCAGACCACAAATTCTGTTAATAAGAAGAAAACAGACTGATACCTCCAAGAAAGCCGAACAAGTAAAATTGTAAGACATTGGGGAGACCAAGAAAGGGCTCGAAGGCTCTCCAGTGACTTAGAGGCCATGTTTACATGCTTTTTGTTTGTTTGTTTGTTTGTTTTAACTGCAGGGAGTATTTTTGTGAAGCCTTTTTGTACAGTTACATTGGCCATGTGCAGTCTATTTGTTTTAACATTTTCTAGGACCTGTCAGTGGCTGGAGGTGGGGAGACAGTCCGTCTGGGCTGCCGGGTCTTTGCCTTACTGACATGGTTTTCATCTGCTGGACTCTGGATGCCGCAGGCTGGGCATTGGCTCCGGAAGTTAGAAGGTGATTGCTGAGAAGATGTCACAGACATGGCGGTTCCTCAGCAGCTCCGACCCCTTTGATGTGTGACATTACTGGTTTGTGGATACAGTGACTACACTCAGCAGACCCTGGAGGAGAGGGATCATGGAGGACTGCCCCTGAAAACTTGAAATGAACTCATGTGCCCTCAGAGAGGCTGCATTTCCCCCAGGAATGGAACCCTTTCCCTTCGTTTTTCCTGAACTGAGCCAAGATAGGAAATGAGTACCTCTCCCATGAGTGCCCAGAGCCGCAGAGGGAGCTGCCATTTCCGTTTCCCATGCACCTGCTTCAAGATGGCCCCAGGAGACACCGAGACCCCGTCCCAGGCAGCAGAATGCCCTTTGAAGCAATAATCCCTTTAAATCGAAATTGAAAGTCACACAGAAGTTTGGTAAGAAGCAGAAGATGATTCCCTCGCTCCCCTCTTTTCATGGAGGTGTTAATGATGGTGGCTGCAACGTCCACACAGGCTGATTTTCCATTTTTCCATTTTGTAGCTGATTAAATCCAGCTTTGTTGAAGCTGACTTATCATATATTAGAAAGCAGAAATTTAAAGTCAGTTTTCTTTTCTGTCTTTGTTATGAATGTACCATGGCTCCTTTTGGGGACTACTATTGGGTGGTGTTCTCTGTGGGAGAAGAAAACATGCTATTAGATATTGTGGAAAATAATGAAGATAATAATGAAATATATGCTGCAATGATGTGCCTTCAATCAAACAGCTTGGGGGGAGAAAATTTGTTCCAATGAGATGGTAAAAGTTAGTTTCTCACTGAATAAATACTATGTTTCTGTATAAAGAAAATGTTTCTGAATGTAAGCTTTACTTTTCGCTTCGAAATAACCGATATTCAGGAGTGTGTGTGTGTGTGTGTGTGTGTGTGTTAATAAATGTGCACAAAGTTTTATTGTTTTGTAGGACCTTTCAGCAGTGTGGCTTTATTTCCCTAAAATGTGGGCATTGTGGCATGCTCAGTTTTACTATAATGTCAGGCACTTGGATGGTCTTTCTTTCCAGTCTGATTTGTGGTCTTTATTCCCAGTTTTGCAGGTAGGGTCAATTTCCTCTCTAGAGGAGGAAGCTGATAACTGGACATTTGCTAAGTGCCAGGGCTGGTGGTAGAGCTGACCTGTGGTTGCTGGCCCATCTTGTGACAGCCGGTGGCCGTGGGTCTTCCCACGCAGTGTCCTGCGGCTGCTTCTCTGAGGATCGTGGATCCTGGAAGTGACGAGCTCATCCTTTCAGTGCATTTTCCGGATCCTGGTGCTGGGGGAGGGGACAGTCGTCCTTCCTCTGCAGCCGCGGGGCGTTGGTCTCAGGACCCTTCAGATCCAAAGTCCAGGGACGCCTAAGTCCCTTTAACAATTAAATTGTTTAGGGAATAATAATAATAATAAGTGTTAAGCACAGACACCCTTCCCCACCAATGTTTTCAGTTGGTGGAAGCCAAACCAGCAGAGGAGAGTGGTGGTGGGGCAGGGGTGCAGAAGCGGGCGGAGGCCGAGGGAAGCAGAGACCGGGCGGAATTGGAAGCTGGAGGAGGTAGGACAGCAGGTGAGAAGCCAGGGGACAGGAGAGGCCCACATAAGGAGTGCATGTGTGCCGGGGCAGGAGGCTCCCAGGGCCACCCTACTCCACAGTGCAATCCCAGGAGGATCCCAGGCAGGCCAGGGATGTAGGTGCCTAGAATCGATCAGTCTTTCCAACACGAATACCTTGAGGTGCAAGACCAGGCAACATGCGCATCTTGCCCACTAGTGAGAAGGGTCCAAGTCACCATGGGCAGGACACGTGTGCATTCTCCAGGGGAGTCTCTGAGCTCTCCGTGTGATTTCTGGCTGTATGGTTTATGGTCAGGTGTCACTGTACGTGAGTATCTTCATTTCTGGGAGAAGAACTTTGGTAAGGAGAAGAGAGGTGACCGCAGGGTGGCCAGCTTCTCAGTGTGACTCTAGTAGGTACTAAAAGGACAGTGCAGAGACAATAGACTCCTGCCCGTTTTCTCCTGAGGAATGTTTACCCATAAGAAAAATGTTCCAACTGAGGGTCAGAGTTCGAAGACGTTGGGTCTGTTTTTATTGCCTTAGATTTCTATGTTGTCCCAAAGGTAATGTGCACTTAATCAAAATGTGTTGGATTGGGGAGTTTCAGTGGAAAAGAAATACCTTTTCTGTTTTCTTTCAAAGCCCAATCTGAAGTGCTCTATTTTAATGCATGCGTGTGTGTGTGTGTGTGTGTGTGTGTGTGTGTGTGCACGCCACGCCCTCCCTGCTCCATAAGGAGCAAGAATATTATTCAGTAATTGCAAAAAGTAGTAGATATTTCTGTTTGAGAATGTGACTGGTTAAGGGAGGAAAAGGCAGGAAGAATCGAGTAGGTCAAGAAGAGAGGAATTAGCAGGTGGTGCCCCGGAATTGGAGGGCTGCTTGGCCACCATTACTGAAGGTTCCTGGTCAGTCAAGGAGTGGCTGGTCCCCCTGGTCTTTCTGGACTCCTCACATTGGAACCACAGCCAAGGTTAAAAACATCGGTCACAGTGTGGTTGCTCCAGGGGCTGCACCTCCTCTCTCCCCTGGCACGCAGTGTGGTGCCTGTCACATAATGAAGATTCAGTAAGTGTTTGTCGATTGAATGAGGGAGTGAGGGGATTCGTTCAATGCATCATTGCACTTGACAGCTTTGATTGAGCTGCTTCTGCACTGGGAAACATCATTTCTGCTTTCCAGAATTAGGGTTTGAAATAAAAGCTTGTGTTTTCAGGGAATTCTGTAAGCAAGTTATGTGAAATCATCACTCAGGCAGCCCGGTTGACACAGCCTGAACCTGCTTGGTTAGTCCATCCGTTAATTAATGCATCTGCTTATTTATCAGATGTGTCAGGCCTGGTAGGGGATGGGCACTCTGCTATGCACTGCAAGTAAAAGATGCTGAAGACCCCATCTCTGCCCCAGACATGGTCAAGGTAGGCTCAGAAAGATGCCGTCCAGAGCTGGGTGCTATAGGAGCGCCAGGAGAACCCCAGCAAGCAGAAAAGGGAGAGTGATTGGTGGCCTCATCCTCATCTTCCGCCAAGTGCAGAGCATCCACATCTCACAGTGCTTAAAGGTGACACAGTGCAGGAGCATCACTGCTCTCTGTGCTCCATCCAGGTGAAGTTAGCCTTACCCTTACCCTGAAGTTGCCCATTGACCTTGAACATGCCCATGCCGGTCAGTGCTGTAGCTGCCAAAGGAGCAGTTTGTGCTTTCATGGTTGCCCATGGAGGTAATTTCCAGGCTCAGCAGATGCCTTCATGAAGCCAGGCAGGAAAGACGTTTTCTAGAAAAGTCCCAGCCCAACGTGAGCTTTGTCTCGTTCCCTAAACTTAGTTAAGGCTACCTACTATATGCTAAGAGGAAGAGAATCAGCATTCATTGACAGCTATTTTCATTTTTAGTACCTAATCCAGTTCTGGGAACTTGGCAGTATTTTCTGCTCTTTGCAGAAATGGAAACCAAGCCATGGAGGCTGGAAGTAACAGGTGTTGAAAGATGAACTGACAACAAATTTAGTTCCAGCTCTAACTGGGTCTTTCTTTTTCCTGATTCACTGAAACAGCCTCTATTCTATGACATAGAACGGGAGCTTCCAGTGGGCAGTGGGCGACAGTGAGTTTGGAAACAGGGAACAGTAGAAAAATAGCTGACTGGGTAGCATCAGGTTATTCGGGTTATTTTTGTGTGTGTGTTTTGTAAGGGACAAAGAAGAGGGACTTCAGATTACACGAAACCAGGTGCAGTGACACCTCCTGTAGTCAGGAAAGCCTGGCTGTGTGGATCTCACCCTGCCTCCTCAGCACGAGTGGCACCACTCAGGTTTGGCCAGGTCTACTGGGGCTTGATGCTGGAGCCAGACCCCAATAGAGGCCTCCCTTAAACTCTGTTGAACACAGGTAATGTGCCTGAGGTTGCACAGCTAGTCTGTGGGGGAGCCGGGCTTGAGTCCTGGGGTGGCTGACTCTGAGGTCCATCTCACTCTCCGTTGCAGAAGCACATTGGTTTTCAGAGAGACAAAGTTTTAGAGTGAAAGTAACTCCAGCCTCATCTGGTCTGGGTTTCCAGAGGCCGACTGGCTGGCCCTACCTGGGGAGCTTCCTGAGTATGCAAGGAGAGGGGCAATAGGAAGGGGGCCAGGTGGATAGCTGGGCCTCCCTTTCCCTGGTGAGGTGGAGGTCAAGCCAAATTGTTCGATTACGGTGAAGAAATGGCCTTTTGGACCTTCTACCATTGATTTTTGCCGCAGTCTGGCTGGGCACAAATCACGAGCCACTCAAGCAGGAACAGACTTTATTTCTGAACTCCACCAGCACACTCCACACACGCTCCCCGGGAACTCTCCCGAATGCCACCCATGCGGCTCCTCCAGGAACCACCAACCGGAAATCCCTCCTCCGCCACTTCCCCAACCAATGGGAACTCTCCAGGAATCCCCGCGAGAACTCCAAAGTAGCGGGCTGAGTCGGACAGTAAAGGTCTAATATACAATTGAATCAATCCAGCATCATCTTAATGGCTCGCCTCTGAACCAATACTATTGGCAAAATGCCAGGGGCCATTCCTACTCGGCTGTGGCTCTCAGCAGATTTTATTAATAAACGGCCTTTTATTTGGTATTGACATATTTTGAGATATGCAAAGGTTGTCTGAGACTTGGGGTGGCCCTTGTATGCTAGGACCCTGCTTCATTGCCAGAGAAGTCAAGGGCACTTTGGTGAATTAAGGCATAGACAACTCAGGAGCCAAATAAGAGATGACAGAAATGGAGGCCTGAGAAGAAGGAGAATTGTCAGTGGGTAGACAGGTCAGGGTGGCCTTTAAGAACAGGAAGGTATTTAACTGCTGATTGTCGTATAATTTTCTCTCTTGGCTACCAAGACTTCTTTAATTTTTATTTTTGCAGTGCTGGGAAATGAACCCAGGGCCTTGTGCACACTAGGCAAGTACTCTATCCCCAGAGTCTTAGAAAAGGGCATACTTGATTCCGGTTTTGCTTACTGTTAAGAGAAAAGAAAACAAACTGAATAAGACAGAAAATACAGTAGGAGCTACAGATTGGAACAAAATCTGTGCTGACTAAGCTTCCTGTGAGAATCCCCAGATATACTAGCTGTGCTGGTCAGCTTTCCATTGCTATGACAAAGCACCTGAGAAAATCAACTTAAAGAAGAAAGGTTCATTTTGGCTCATGGTTTAGGTCCTCCAGTGCAGTCACAAGTTACACCTGCCTCCCTGTGCACTGATCTGGAGGAGTCACCAGATGCCAGGCAAGATTCTGCCTGGTCACCTGTCACGTTGTCCCTGCCATCTCCACACTGCTGCTGGGGACTTCCTGGACAGCTCATCTGGCCCTTGCTCTTCATGAAACCTCCTGTTAGCTCCTGCTCTCTGCGGCATGACACCCAGACCTTCCCTCTCCCCAGCCTGGGTGTGCCCCTTGCTTCAGGCCAGTGTCTGCCCCAGTGGTAAAGCACCTCTCTAGCAGAGAGCTGTTTCACTTAGTTCTTCATTCTGCTGCCCAGAACTCCCCCATTTCCTTCCTTCATAACTTCCCTCCTTCCTTCCCTAGAAATTTAACTCAGAGGCACTTAACCACTGAGCCATCTTGCTAACTCCCCTCACTTTTTAATTTGAGACAGGGTCTCACCAAATTGCTTAGAGGCTTGCTAAGTTGCTGAGGCTGGCC